TTTATTTTGGTGAATATTTTTGTAATTTTCGATAAAAAGTGATATTTTCGACTTCTTGTTAAAAACCCTAAGTCCGATTGCTTTGATACTATTCATATTGTTCATTTTCTAATGATGTCTTCAGTTCTTTAATTGAAATGTGCATTGCTAACAGCGGAGCTATCTCAGCCGATAGGCTGCTTGTTTATTTTAATTCACGGTTTACATGTCATGAAATTGTATGTAAGCCATTCAAATGTAGAATGTCTACATTTTTCATATTTGGATTATTTGTATACAAAGACCCTATTGACGTCTGACCTGTAGTATTTATAAACAATTTTGAGACCGTAAAAGGACTATCAAATCGTTATAATTCATGAAAATGTCGCAAAAGTCCAAGGTTTACAGATAAAATTATAATCATATTCGTTCACAATTATTACATATACTTTGATGTCTACGTTCGTTATTTACAATCAATGCGTTTACAATCGATGTTATTTCCAAACATCGTTTAGGAAATATATAATGTACAAATGAGAGCGTTCGTACACTATATTGCATTTGACCGAATGGCGGCGATACTACCGTCAATGTGGGGGATGTCAAGTAAAAGTGAAAATACGCTCTGCCACTTTTCGAACCTTCGTGGTACATACTTGCCGATTATAATGACAATTTGAGTATGAAAGCTAGATGCATGCAGCAGTTATTGTACATTGCGACCTGGGGTACATACGAAGGTCAGCCTGAGTGCGAGGTCGCAGATATCGGGAAGATCACGATTGGTAAAATCATGGGGTTCCATGATACAATCTAATTTTACCTTACTGAAAATTTATGTGGCTACATCGACGGTTATGCTAAAAGTAAATCATAACAACGTGTCTCTTTTGTCACGGTGTTTTGACAGATATTAAATGACAAACAAATATTTAACACTCAACTTCAATGAAGTGCTACACTGGGTCTAAAATAAAACTAGGTTGAAAATATAGATCCAGTGAATAAATATTGTAAATAAAGAACTGCGTGGTTTTTCATGTTATAGATGCACCATTCTGTTGTGGTATCTGACTATTTGTGCCCTGTTCGATTTTTCCCGCATAGTGTTATAGTCAGTTAAATCAGAGTCCAACTGAACACAAAATCACCTTGTTTTTGAAAGGAATATCGCGTTATTAAATTTGGAAGACAAATATCACTAGAGCAACTTATTTAAAGTTCACTTCCTCTATAATAAAAAAAAAAGTGTAGTAGAGGTTTCCCGGAAGTAAAATACATATTAATTGTAGTCCCAAACGAGGCGTTCTAAACCATTTCAACCTATATATTGTATGAAAGCCCAAACTTTACCCTAAATAAAAGAAAAACAATGTTATATCAAGCGCAACCCTCAGTTAGTCACGCGGTCGTTAAGGTAGAAGCCTACTCATAAATTGAAAAACCAAGAATTTATTCATTTTGTAATAAATTGTACTCCAAGGCAATATAAGGATATTGACCTAAAAAAAGTTGGGATCACCAGCCTTTTTTTCGAGAAATTGATGGTTGTATTTTAGTGGAAAGTCGCCATTTTAACACTATTATAACACTTTTACCACAGGTTCCTATGGCAGAGATGTTATGCAATATCTCAAAATCTAGCCTGGTGACATAGATGGAAAAAATCATATATTGTTAATGATGGAGTACTTTTTGTTGTTCTGAATTGTTTAAAAATCTGGGTTTTAAAAAGTGTCAAAAAATGCAATTTTTCTTTAACGCTGTGTTCTATGGAATTATTCTAAGATAGTAATTTTCAAGAAATATTAGGACACATTTCTGAAAAAGCTTAACTATAACACACAAAATAATGTTATTTCATTGTACCATAAGACATTAGCTTCATGATTGTACATAATAAACTAATAAAACATTGTCATGCGATTTATGACCAATTTTGTATAAAAAATTATGACTAGGCTTCTACCTTAAGTAAATAAATCCATTGTTGAGACTTTGAATCAGTATTATGAAGAAATTAAAAGGGGTATTGGAAACAGTAGAAATGTAGAAGTTAACTCAATTGTTTTTAACTATTCTGGTTTTCAGACTATCCCGCCATAAACCTAGTATAAGCATACATTTTTATGAAAAAGTAAAAACCTTTACTACATCCTTAATTTACCCCAACAATTCCCTTATGTTGGAATGGCGTTTTTCTGGCCAATCGTTTAATATCAGGTATCAGGGCTTTTAAATTTGTAGTTATTTTTAGTTGCATTGGCGGTACTTATATTTTATTTTACACTATTTTTACATTACTGTATCCACAGCAGATTACAGTTGCGTAATAAACTATTATTATTATTATTATAAAAAAATTACTGCATGTTTACATATAATAAACTTATATAATAAATCCATAAAATACTATATGAATAAATGCACAAACGGCATCCCATATCGTTGACAAGTTTGTATGTTTTGTTCACATCCATTATACTAAAGACATTAGACATTTATTGTCTTTCATTATACTTACATGTGATTTCAACACATGAGAACAACATTTTGATCTTTGTTGTCGTTGTTTGGAGAAATTAACCCAAACACTGAAATCGCTGTCAGTGGAAATCTATTTAGTGGTATGATACCTGAATTTATCCTATTGTAGCTGTCACACGTCACATGGAACACGTCCAAATTTACGAACACTTAGGGATACTTATGACGCCATGACAGGAAGTGAGATTGTTTTTGTTTATCATTAAGGTGTCATTTTATTTCTTCAGATATTTGTCAATTTTGAGTACATCTGTCGCCATACGACAGTTATACATATCATTGGCGTTACCAGGGAAGGCATAGTTACTGGACTGAGTGGATAGACCTTCTTGAATGCAGCGAATAACAATCTGCGGAGAGAGAGAGTAATATTACGCATGGACAGTTCCGAAGGTGAAAGCTGGGTCATCTTCAAATCGTGAAGCCCATTTTCACTTATTTTCTGTGTCATTTATTTGTCCACTGGGTGTTGTAACGTGGTTTTTTACTCTCATTAGTCGCAGTTTGACCTGCCTATGTACCATGCAGCAACCAGTGGCGTCATCACATCAACCAGTAACAGTGCCTCGAAATAATGGGGAAAGAAGTGAGAGAAATACTCTTCGTCGACGGTCCTTCGCCCGACTTAGTATTGTTCAGATCATTGTTGGTTCACTCTCGCTTGTCTTTGGTATAACATCAATTGTAGTCGGCTGTGTGGGTTCATATTCTGGGATTGGTATTTGGTGCGGAATCTTTGTAAGTTTTTTTGAATTGAAAATCCAATTATTTCCGTTTAATATCCCAATATCTGATTACTTAATAAACTTACGAGTTTGGAAAATATTTAGGTTAGAAATTTCCTTAGGGCCCCTTACCCCATAACTCTAACCATGCCCCTCCAGTGCCTCTTCCCCATTTCAATTGTAGGGTAGGATGGAAATGATATTTTATTTGGAACGTACACAAAAACTATGTTTGAGCAAAGTCCAATATAAGAAACATAAAGTAACACAACTAATCTAAAATACTTTTAATTTTTAATACTAAATTAGTTAAAATAATAAACAATTGTATATACTTTATTGTCAACAAACTAATAATATTATCGTTAATGCTGCCTTTGTAGAAAATAGTTTGAGTCAGAATGATGGCTGGGTTAGTATTATTAATAAATTATTGGAAATTACTCAGTTTAGTTCTACTGACCTTAAAACTAAAAAAAAATTCAATGTTTTTTTAAAAGAAAGAATAAGGAACATGTACCAGAACAAGGAGCAAAAAGATATACAGGGCAACAAAACATTTGACTTGTACAAAAAAATTTCAATGATAAATATGTTTTTGAAAAGTATTTAGATGACATTACAAATAAAAATCACAGGATTGCTCTGACAAGTATCGACACATTTCATTCTGGGATTAAGCGAGAAGAAAGACTATGTAAAATCCATGATTGTAACAAGATTGGAGATGTAAAACACTATCTATTCCATTGTCAAAATAGAATTATCAAAGAATGATCTGTTCTAGTATTGATGATCAATTCATTGAAATTCTCTCCAGCACGGTAACCGTGTCTCCAGTTATGACAAGTTTATCTTTTCCAATTTGTTTTTCGTATTTTAGATCTGTTTTAGTCTTGTAGTGATGTGTTTTTTTTCTTGTGGACATTACTTTACTTTTGTTTGTGTACGTGCCAAATAAAATATCATATACCCCTCTTCAGATCACTTATAGTTATTTGGCTGGGGGGGGGGCATATTGAATTACATTGGGACTGGAGTGTTAGGGGTGACTAGGCCCTCAAAGGGGCACTTCCAGTTAAGCCTAATCTCACAACAAATTTACTTTCTTGATTAAAATTACAATGGATAACAAAAGATATATTAACTTTTTAAACAACATAAACAATAGTGTCCAATGATTCTTTGGTACAATCCATGGGATTGAGCGGTTTCTCTTTCCAATTTCTTTGGAGAATGTCATATGAAAATCAGGTTTGAAGATTACACACCCACAATTGAGTCGTCACCTGCGCATGCGTCAAATGGCCATAGCGTGTCATTGTCAAGCATCTACCCATGAGCCTTTGCGTTTTAGCGTGTGTTGTTACCGTCGATTGGGACCCAATTCCCCGCGTGTGCGCAGGTGACCACCCTTCCGCTTTAATTTAAATACTCTTGATCCAATTATATGGATTTTCATCCCTCATGTGATGGAGTGACTGACTATATAGATGTCCGTTCCCCATATAATATTGCAATATTTGATTTCCTGTTTTATTGTACTTTCAGTTTATTGTGACAGGCTCCCTGGGATGCATTACATCAATGAAATTTACGAATTGTTGGGTTAGTAAATATTACATCAATAAATATATAATAAAGATGTATCATGAGAATATGACAAAGTAAGCATGAAGGCAG